TGCGAAGGAGGAGGAGGCCCCCAGAATCCACGCTGGCAAGCATGCTCCAGTCCTATGTCCTAGTGACATCAGACGGAGGCTGTTCGGCTGCAAGCTAGGTTTCTACATTTTAACCTGAAAGCGTGCGTTTCCTAAAGTGCTTCACAGACTGCTGCGCTGGCTTCCTAGGAGTTGGCGTGCTGCGTGGCCCCACACACCGGCAGCTTGCATCAGGGTTCACACGTGGCGGGTCTGGCCTGTGCTTCTGCGGTCAGCTGACGGGGCAGGGACCCAGGCCCACCACCTGTGCGCAGCAGTAGGCAGGGACATCGGCAAGAAGCGGGGGCTGTAAGCTTGCAGCCCTTGTGTGTGCGGTCTGAGCCCAGGTGACTTCCTTCTTCAAACAGGCGGAAGAACTCAAGTTGGCTACCCAGCTGACGGGACCAGTCATGCCCATACGGAACGTAAGTGGGGGTGTCTGGAGGATCAACCGGTGAATGCTTTGGGGTGGGGCTTGAGTTGAGGGGTGGCAGCCGGGGTCTCTGGAAAGTTTTACAGGTTTGTGAAAAAGAATGCCTTGACTCAGAGAGGAATGTTATCCTGCATTCTTAGCAGCTGGGTTCCTTGAGGGAGGGCCTTGCCCTCATCTTTGGGGACTCGCTTGTCACAGATACACGCTTCTCACCATTTGGAAAGGCCAGGTCACTCCCTGGACACGTCGTTGGTGATCCCACAAATGACTGGGCCCTTGAGGGTCTTCTGGCAGGAGAGGTGGGCCCAGGACTGCACACATCTGAGGTGGTTGCTTCTACTGTGTGCCTGGGGTGACGTTCCAGGTCATGTCATTCTAGTCTGTTCTTAGTGGCCTCAGTGTGGCCTTGCAGCAGTGGGCAGGCAGACCTAGCCTGTTACCTCCTCCTGCAAGGCTTCTGCTGACATTAGGTCCTAGGCAAGGGTTTGACGCCCCCTGTGCCCCGGTCCAGGTCTACAAGAAGGAGAAAGCCAGAGTCCTCACAGAGGAGGAGAAGAGCTTCAAGGCCTTCGCCAGTCTTCGCATGGCCCGTGCCAATGCCCGGCTGTTTGGCATCCGGGCCAAAAGGGCCAAGGAAGCTGCAGAGCAGGACGTTGAAAAGAAAAAATAAAGTGCAGTTAACAACTCGTGATACCTGTGGTGTCCATGTGATCCTGGTCTCCTCGGGTTGGGGGCAAGAACTTGGGGACCTGCGACCTGGCCGGAGGGACAGCATATTTGCAGGGCAACATTTTACTGTCTATGTCTTAGGACTGTTGACTGAATAACTCGAGTACCTTTCTGGTGGAGGTGTTGCAGAGAGTAATTGTTACCAGGGTAGTTTGCAATTGAGCATTTGGGATTTGGGGCCAGATCCTCCTGGGCCTGTCTGTACTTATGCATGCAGGCTCTGGTGTGGACGGCTGGGGTTGGGCTGCCCAGAACCCGTTTTCAGGCTACTGTGCCTGTGTGGCAGCTGGACGGCCGGGGCAGCCCAAGTGCCCACGCCCGAGGAAGGCTGAAGGCTGGACCCCATGTGGCAGTGCAGCACACCCCTGTTCCTTTGAAACCTCTGCGTGGTTTCTGCAAGTGAGATGCTGAGATGGGGCCCTGGCAGGGCCTGCTGTGAGGATCCGTTATGGGGGCCGTAAGGTGTGGATGTCCCAACGCTGCTGGTGTCCTGCACCGACCGGTTCCTGTTGGGAACGAAATCCCTGGTAGGTTTTCATCTAAACAGATGATTTGGAGGGTTATTTATTTTTTTCACATCTGAAGTGGTGCTTATGGGGTACTGATTTTCCATGCTCCTTTTCTGCATTTGGAAGTTGTGGAGGGACCAGGAGCCCTAGCTGCGTCCCTCACAATCCCAGGCAGAGGGAATGAGGTGGGGCTGCCTCTGGGTGGCCCGGTGGCTGCAGGCTCAACCTTCCCTGTGGCAGGTGGCTCTTCCTGGTGCCAGATCCCTGGCTGTGGTCTTCGCAGGTTGGGGAGCCCAGGCCTCCAGGTCAGTGCAGGGCAGGGGTTCCTGTGCTCTAGGCTCAGGGGTGAGGGGGAGAAACATTCACGTCCCCTTCTGGCGTTGCGCCACCAGAGTGAAGGGCCTTCCCGGATGCAAGAAGCGCCTGGAACAGGCCAGGCACCTGCTGGTGAGTATGCTGGAGAAAGTCTTGGGGAGGGGCCCGGGCTGTAGGACCCTGTCCACTGGGCCGTCGACACTTCTCACCTTGTCCAGTGGTGGTGGCAGCTCTGCTGGGTCACCTTGACTAGGCCGCTTCTCCGAGTCCCGCTCCATCCCTCAGCTCAGTGCCATGGGTGTTTGGTAAGTTAGATGTGCCATCTGGTGAAGCCGGGCGGGAAGTAAGCTTCATCCTGTGTACCTGGGGCCCATGAACCGACAGGAGGTTCAAGGGGGCTTTGGAAGGTGCCAGGGCCCAACCGCTGGATCCACCCTAGACTCCCTGACCTCAGGCTGTGAGGAATGACACCTCCCTACAGTCCGGAGTGCTCTTGGCAGGTTCGCAGATGTTTGTGTCAGCTGGGACTGAACCAGGGACCCTTATGGGAGTCTGGTACGGGACGTGATTGTGGGTGGGGAGCTCAGCTGGTCCAAGCTGTGGCGCCGTTGGGGAAGCAGTGAGCCCCAGCCCAGCCAGTCCTGAGGCTGAGGAAGTCTTCCTGTGAGGTGCTGCTGACCAGCGTCCAAACCCCAAATCATGCTGGTGCCCTGGTGAAGTCCTGGGTTGTGACCAAGACCTTGTAACTGGGGAGACAGACTGAGCGTGAACTCACACTTGGTAGGGATGCAGGTGCTGAACAGGGGCTGGAAGACTGCTCCTTCTGTGTCTGTGTCTGCTCCAAGGCAGCGCTCGCCCCCGCCAGGGTGAGAGGGTCCTTCGTCCACGGGCCATCCCCTGGCCCTGGGGTAGCAGGATTCTGCTACCTGGAGGATTTCTCCTTGAGTGTGGGCAGAACTGTGCCCGGGAGGGGGCTCCTGACCCCACCGTGTGTCTGGCGGGGCCAGCCTTGAGGGAGCAGCCGCTGGGGAGCCACAAAGCAACGAGAAAACAGGGCCTCTGTCCTCTCTGGGTGAGGAACTGAATTCCACCAACCAAGGCCTCCCCTGAGATACCCCTGAGCAGGGAACCCAGCTGTGGTTGGCCTTCACCTGTGTGTGTGGTTAATTCGAAAACCAACCCAAGTGGAGGCACTGTTTCCTTTAACCCTTTCTGCCCCTGGGTGGAAATGCATCAGCAGGCGTGGGCTCCTTATGTGGCCATCGCCCCTCGGAGAAGTGGGTGGGGGTCCGGAGGGTCATCTGTGGGTTGCAGGTGCATTTTGGGGTCAGATTCCCAAAGTGGGTGCAGGGGTGTGGCTAGCGGGGGTGGGCAGGATGGAGCCGCCCACAAGATGGCCCACGGGGCACGTTCACCTCTTTGCCTATTTTCAGATCAGCCTTGCTCTCATAGGAGTTGCAAATATTTTCTCTCAATTTATTGTTTTTCTTCTTTCTAATGTGACATTAGGGTTATTCTGTAATCTTCCCAAGCTGTCTTTCTCCTTTTTTCATTATCTTAAAGTTACTGTATGGTATTTTTTACTCTGGAGAGAAGATACACGGTGGGTGCCACCTTCCCAGGATGAGTTGCATTTTGAATCTCTATCCTATAGTTGCTTTGTTAAAATATCTACAATTGTGGTATTTTTAAAAGGAAGAATTAAAATTTTTTTAACACTAATTTCCACTTGCTTGAAACTGTTGTGATTTAGAGGAAAACTTAAGTTGTTTTAGATTACTTAGCCTTTTTCCCACTTGACTCCACTCCGTTTGAGCCAGAGAGTAGAAGGGGGTATGAGTGCCTGCAAAGGGCTAAGGGCTCTTTACTTTTCTGGTGTCTCACATGTTCGTTTTTTCATTTGTAGGTAGTTGTACCCATGTTTTCTTTCATGGTTTCTGAGTGTTCACTTATTTATTTTTTCTTTTTTTAAGTTATAGAAGAAAAGCATGCTCTTTGTTAAAAACAAAAAAAAGTACAGGAGAGAAAAGCATAAAAAGTGTCCCTTTTCTACCTCCACCCTCCAAGCCCTTAGAATGACTTGTGCATATGACTTGTGCATCTGCCCACAGTGGTTTATGTGAAGTTATGTTCTCGTATAAACACCTGGGCCTTGGGGCCCCTGGGCGGGACTGTTGATGATGCGTTTTGGCTCAGGTCATGATCTCAGGGTCGTGAGACCGAGCCCCACATCAGGCTTGGGATTCTCTCCCTCTCCTTCTGCCCCTTCGCTTGTGCTCTTGCTCTCTAAAAGGAGTAAACAAATCTTTAAGGAAGAAACAAAACATCTGGGCCTTTAGTTTTGGGTTTGGTTTGGTTTTGTTGGGGGGCTTTTGTTTTTATGAAAAATGGGGCACCTGGATGGTTCAGTCAGAAGAGTATGTGACTCTTGATATCGGGGTCGTGGGTTCAAGCCCCACGTGGGGTGTAGAGATGACCTAAATAATAAAAGCACACGGAATCCCACTGTGTGTTGTCCCGTATTGTGCCTGCCCACCCGGGTCTCCCTCACTTCTCGCCCATGTCTACAGGGACCCCGTGAAGGGATGGGTGACATTTGGTTTAAACAGTCCTCTGTGGGTGGGGAACACTGGAACGCCGCTGTTTTTGTTTTTAAGATTTTTATTTTATTTGAGAGAGGACATGGGCAGTGGGGTGGGTGGGGTAGGGGGAGCAGAGGCAGAGGGAGAAGCAGACCCACTGCCGAGCAGGGAGCCCGAAGCAGGGCTCCATCCTGGGGTCCTGAGATCATGACCCGAGCTGAAGGCAGACGCTTAGCTGACTGAGCCGCCCAGCGCCCCTGGAATGCTACTGTTTTAACTTGTATTTTTTATTTGTTTGTGAAGCTGAGCCTCTCTTCTCATATTTGCTGGCAAATTGTCTCTTTTTTTGTGGTTTGTCTGTCACATCCTTTGTCCATTTTTTTTTATGATGTCTGTCATTTTCTTGAATTGTAGAAGCTCTTTGCATATTAAGGAAATTTGCCTTCTGTCATATGTTGGCAGATTTTTTTCCGGTTTATTCTTTTCCTTTTGAGGCTTGCTTGTATTTTTTATTTTTAAGTAATCTCTAGACCCAGCATGGGGCTCGAACTCATGACCTTGTGATCAAGAGTCAGATGCTCTACCAACTGAGACTCCCTGAGTCTTGCTTGTACCCTGAGGGTCTGGGCTGGAGAGGGGATGGGGTGCTGTCGTTTAGGAGACAGTGTGGTGTAGTAGGAAGACCACAGCTCAGCCTCTGTAGTGGACGTGGGTTATTCTCTCTGGCTCCTTCGGCGTCAGAATTCACGTTGGGAGTTTGTTTCTGAGTCTTGTGAGAAGCAGAACTCGCCTCTTTTGTAGGAGCTGGAGGCACTGTACCCCCTGCCCCACCTCCTCGCAGCACCCTGGCCACGTGACCAAGCTCCCTGTCCCCTGTCCCAGGCTGGGTCTCATCCCTGGTGATGCATGCAGCCTCAACATCCTTACAATGGGCCTGGGTGTCACCCCCACCAATTCGAGGGGTTTCCCAGTGTTTGGTCCTTTGTGGCTCCCTCAGCCAGAATCGGTGCTCTGTTGCTTAGAACAAGACCAGACGTACCAAGCTTGCTGAATCAGGTGTGGGTCAGGGCCGGCCGGGCACTGACCGTCCGGGGGACTCCCCTTCAACAAGCACCAAGTGCCAACCGAGCACTAGGAACCACAGGAGGGGGCTGGTACTGGGCCCCAAAAAGTAAGCAGAGCCCGATGATGGGGCAGAAAGATGGGCGGGTGGGCCTGGGAAAGTAGAAAGTGGTGTGGAAGGAGTTCAGTAAGGACAACAGGTGAGGGGAGAAGAGACATTCATTCAAGTATTTATTCAGCATCTACTGTGCCAGGCTGGTCCCAGGCTGTAGGGCAAGCAGGAAACGGCAGAACAAACTATATCCATCCTTGCCTTCTCAGGGTTTTCATTCTGAAGGGTCTCCAGACACAGGCTCTAGCGGGCCCCCTCTCCCCTCACTGTAGTGTCCTGGGCACATATCTGCCTCACGGGTTGCGGGAGGGGACATCAATAATGACAATAAGGGGGCGCCTGGGTGGCCCAGTCGGTGAAGCGTCTGCCTTCAGCTCAGGTC